GAGCAGATGTCCTAAACCCACGACAGCCCCACAGAAGCCAGGACCTGAGAGCTTCTTTCAACTGCACTGAAAGTAGTTGGAATGGGGGCCCTCTCCTTTCCCACCCCCACTCAGAGCCCCACAGAACTTCGGTCCTCAGAGTAAGGATGGAGGATGCAGACCTGAGAATCCGCCCGCCCGGCTTCCACTTCTGCTCTTCTACTGAACAAGCTACAGGCCCTCGGGTAATCGCTCCCATCTGTAGCCTCACTTTTCTCATCTGTGCAAGAGGGCAGCAGCCGCCACTTCACAGGTGTGGTGAGGAGGAGGTGAGACCATTTAGCTCACATTTATAAAGCCCTTGCGAAGTGCCAGCCACCATTCTCTACATATCACACGCATCTAATCCTCCCAACATCCCTGTGGAGTAGGTACTGTCATTCTCCCCTTTTACAGAGGCAGAAACTGAGGCTCACTGAGGTCAAGGGAGCGGAATGAGGTCACGCAGCATCTGAGGGGTAGACAGGCACCGTCAGCCCAGGCAGGGCCACACAGCCCATGGCCCGTGGCCAGGGTCAATTGCTCCTAGGGGTCCCTGTCCAGCTCCCTGGATTTGAAAGCAGGAAAACATGGGCTGTTGTGCCCTGATTTATGCTTCAAGCTGAGATGTCCCTGGTAATCTGTGATGTGTCCCTAACTAGGTGTGGGGCTCCAGAGCAGCTGATGCCATTCCCACCTCTTCCTACATTGCAGTCATCCCAGGTTGCAGGCATCATGTAGGGAGGGGCAGCCAGGCCTTCCCGCCTCCTGCCTCAGCTTCCCTCCCAGCGTGCAGGTGAACGTGATTTCCCCGTGGCCAATTCCTCTTCCCCAGAGCGCCTTTTTTCTGTTCCTGTTTTGTGTCTCCTCGAGCTCAGGACAAATTGCCGTCTCCACTCTGCTAGCAGGCGGAAGCAGAAACACGCTGCTGCAGGAAACTCTTTTGCCCCCAACTGGCCCCTTGTTCACATTCCTGTGGCTTCAGAGGAGGTCTGGCCCAGCCTCGCTGAAGTCATCTATCACGGCTGGTCAGGATGGAGGGGCTGCTGGAATCAGCCTGTCCCACCTCCTCCTTTTCACAGACCTGGAAATGGAGGTGCAGACAAGGGCATGGCTCTGCTCACATACACAGGAGCTCAACTCAGGGGTAGGACAGCTACCAGGGAAGAGCCCTGTGACTTGCAAAGAGTTTGGCTTCCATCCGATACCCAGTCCAGTCCTGCAAGGTAGGTGTTATGGTTCCATTTTACAGATGAGGAAACAGCCACAGAGAGGTTACGTTGCTAACTTAAGGTCACATCGAAAACTGTGGTCAAGGGCTTTAAGCCAAGGCAGTCTTGACTACTAAGTCAATGTTCTTTTCTTCCTCTCACACAATTAGTAACTATATATTGAGGTTGGGGCCCAGAGAAGGCCCACCCACCAAAATGGCTGGATTCCACCCGGGCTGGAGTGCAGTAACATGATCTCAGCTCAGTGCAACCTCCACCTCCCAGGTTCAATTGATTCTCCTGCCTCAGCCTCCTGAGTAGTTGAGATTACAGGTACACACCACCAACCCGGCTAATTTTTGTATTTTCAGTAGAGACAGGATTTCACCATGTTGGCCAGGCTGGTCTCGAACTCCTGACGTCAGGTGATCCACCCACCTCGGTCTCCCAAAATGCTGGGATTACATGTGTGAGCCACTGTGCCCGACAGGATTTTCTTTTTAACCCCCCAGTCTGGGCTCCCTCTCCCAGGCTCCATCCTTCACCTTGTCTTTTTCCAGAAGGGTCTGCCACCATTTCAAGCTGGCAATGATGCTAAGAAAAAGGCACCCTCCATTAAGCCCAGACCTCCTCCTCATTTTCTGCCATTTCCCAGTTGTCCCTGGGGAAATGGGTGCCACACTGGTCCCTCTACCCCCTTGCTGTGGCTCTGACACCAGATGCTGCCACCCCTGTTCCTACACGTCAGAACCCTGCCCATTTGCAGGCAGATACAGGTTCAAATTCCTCCACACTCTCTATGGGCTGTGTGACCTTGAGCAAATGACCCATGCTGGCTCCTTTGCAAATGGAGTGATAATCCAGTTTTGGAGGGCTATTTGGAGGACTAGATGAGCTCTTGTAGGTCCAACAGTCTAATGCCTGCACTGCAGTCGGCCCCAGGGATGAAAGATGCTATGTCATAGTGGTTTGGGTGACATGGATGGAGCAGGGATGTGATTGCTGATAAGACAGGGGGTGGCAGGAGGCCACAGCCATGCAGAATCAGGAAGGTGTGGCTTAGATGCTAGCGAGAGGCTCCTGTGGTGACCAGGATCATGTCTAAGTGACACCAAACAGAGGGACATTTCAGCCAGCAGTAGGAGTCCCACAGGGAGTGGCCGGTGCTGCTCTAGGTATATGGGGCCCATGGCAGGCAGGCAGTGGGCACCACACTGGGCCTGGTCATCAAGCTGAAGTTCAAGGAAAAGACTCAGAACAGCCTCCTGAGGAGCATATCTGTATTCTTACTTTATAGATGAAGAAAGCAAGACACAGAAAGGGTAAGTAACTTTCCCAAGATAACTCAGAGTTGGTAGCCAAGCCAGGATTAGAACCTATGCAGCCTGGCTCCAAATTCTGACCTGTTAACCAAATATTCTCTATGCCAGCTCACCATGGGTTTGAACCGAAATGCCGCCACATCGTACTTGGCCCTGGCTTGAACCCCAGCAGAGCCAGAATGTGGACAGATTCCCAAAGGAGGCAGGAAAGCTAGGCCACGTGCCAAGCCAGGCTTCCTTCACACCAGGCGGACGAATTCTTCTTCCCCTTACCCCAAAGCTACCAGAAAAAAAGCCCGGGCTCCAAAGACGATTTTTAATGTTAAAAATTAAATGAGAAGAAACCATTAAATGTGAGCAGGAGGAGGCCACGTGGCCTTGAACTTGCGGAGGCGGGGCTGGCTGCCGGCCCCAGCTGCCTCCGCGCTGAAGCTCCCTTATTAAAAAATCGACTGTGGTGTGGCGGGCCTTGGGTGGTCTCTAAAGGGATTTGGGGCCAAATCAGCACCCTTGGCCAGGAATGTGCTGCAGGAGGTCCCAGAGCCTTGCCCCAGATGGTGACTCTGGACACAGTGACCTTCGCTGGCTGGCAGGAGCAGCCCTGCCACCTAAAAGGAGGGCATAGGAATCAAAAGGCCTCCCAGGCCCCGGAGACTTCTTCTTGAGGGCTGGTCAGATGCCTTCTCCTCCCCCTCTTTGCACAACAGACCATGGCCTTCCTCTCCCCCCACGTTGGTCTTGGTAATTCTGCTCACTCTGCCATCCCCACAAAAGACCTCGACGCTGCCCATGCCTCCTCCTGGGGTGACTCCCAAGCCCCTTCCTCTTTGAATTACTCACTAAGCCCCCAGCTCCAGGCTCCCTTCTCAAGAAGAACAACCCTGCTGCCTCCAAAATGGGCCTGAGGACCCGTGGTGAGAAAATTCCGTGGGGTGGCTTCCTCACTACCATGTGGCATCACCCAGGCCCCTTCCCCCTCTCCAGCCCTGCGCACATTGTCTGACTCACATTCTGCAGGATAGGAATTATGCCCCTGGCAGTTGTGCAAGACAGTGGTCCTGCCTCCTGAGAGTTAGAGACCTGAGTTGTCCACAAGAGCATGGGAAAAATGGAGGGGTCAACAAAGGCAGGCAGGATGGCTCCAGGTGTCACCGGACACACATAGGCAGCCCTTGGATGAAGGCCTTTCATTCTCTTGGACTGTGGCAGGACAGGGGGTGGACCACCTCCCCTTCTTCCCCATACCAGGCCATGGGACCCATGAGCCCTGGGCTTTGTCCAGGGAACCAAACAGCTCTGCATCCTGGTACCCCTTTCGCTGTCTGCCTGGCGTGGCTGCCTGGCTGGACCAAGACCCTCAGGTGGCAAGCATGAATCCCTCAGAGGCAGTGCCAGGGATGCCTGGGGAGGATTTTGCTTCAGAGCTGGGCCCCATCTCGACTTTAGCCCTTACAGGCCTTGTAGCCTAAGGCAAGTGCTTGGACCTCTGGCCCCAATTTGTCCATCTGTAAATGGGGGTGGCAGCTGCTATGGAAAACAGTATGGAGGTTCTTCAAATCATCATATAGTAGTAGAACTACCATATGATCCCACAATCCCTTATCTGGGTATATATCCAGAAGAACTGAAAGCAGGATCTCTAAGAGATACCTGCATCCCATGTTCACGGCAGCACTCTTCACAGTAGACAAGATAGAGAAACAGCCTCAACGCCTAATGACAGGTAAATGGATAAAGATAAGATAGTGTGATGGTGCCAGGTGCGGTGGCTCATGCCTGTAATCCCAGCACTTTTGGAGGCCGAGGAGGATGGATCACTTGAGGTCAGGAGTTCGAGACCAGCCTTGCCAACGTGGTGAAACCCCGTCTCTACTAAAAATACAAAAATTAGCCAGCCTTGGTGTCAGGAACCTGTTATCCCAGCTACTTGGGAAGCTGAGGCAGGAGAATCACTTGAACCTGGAAGGCAGAGGTTGCAGTGAGCTGAGACCACACCACTGCACTCCAGCCTGGGCAACAGGGTGAGATTCCATCTCAAAAAAAAAAAAAAAAGATAAGGTGATATATACACATATCATAACAGAATATTATTCAGCCCTAAAAAAGAAGGGAATCCTGCCACATACAACAACATGGGTGAGCCCAGGGAACATTATGTTTAGTGAAATCAGCCAGTCCCAGAAGGACAAATACCACAGGTTCCACTTGTGTGAAGGGCCTGGAGTAGTCAGACTCATGGAGGCAGTAGAATGATGGTGGCCAGGAGCTGGGAGAGGGACAAACGGGGAGTTATTCAACGTGTAACTTGAGTGTCAGCGGCACAAGGCGACCCAGTCCTAAAGATCTGTGCTCTAGTGCCTGCAGTAAATGGCACCATAGGGTGCAAAAAATGTGTTCAGAAGGTAGACCTCATGTGAAGTGCTCTCACCACAAAAACAAACCAAAAGCAGGGGGCACAAGGATACGTCTGGGCGTGATGGATATGTGTGTTACCTTGATCGTGGTGATTTCTGGCGTGTCTGCCTATGTCTAAACTCTCAGATGGTATACATGAACTGTGTGCTGTTTAGTGGCATACCAATTATCCCTGGATAAAACTGGAAAAAAACGAAAAGAGGAGGGGAGGGTGAGACTGACTAGAAACTGTGGGGAAGAAAGAGCTCGGTGCTGGCAGGGAGAACAGAAGCTGCATTTAACAGGCACCTTCCCAGCGCCACCCCTTCTCAGCACCACGTGGGCATGATCCCGTTTCTTATTTCATTGTCACACACACCTGTACTGGGGGAGTGATTTTTGTGCCCTCCACACATACCTCTGACTCTTGCGTCTCGTTGATCAATGCTGATGGGCTCTGGCTCTTCCGAGACACAGCGCCTGTCAGTGTGGAGAGAAAGAGTTGAACTAACGCGGCTTCCACCTCGCCACCCACCCCTTGCCGGCCACCAACAGTGTCCCTCTGTGGACCAGCCTAACACTCTAGGAGCAGGAAGGCATGGGCAGTGGGGTCTGTCGCCCCCAGGGAAGCAAGCCTCTTTGTGCAGGGGAGGGAGAGGACAATCCATGCCCATGGCCTCTCCACCTCATTCTGTGCCTCACCCCCCACCCACCTGCCACCCATCCCTTCAAAGGAAGCCCTGTCTGCTCTGTCTGCGCTCCTTTTGGCCCCTCTCTCCCCTCTCCTCTGGAGGATTTATGGTTTTAATAATGCTGTCTTTCTCCATCCGCCTCCCTTGCTGTTTAGTCCCCTCTAAAGATCCTTAAAATTAAAACGCTAATCAGGAATTTATTTTCTCATCAATTCTGCCCTTCAGGTTATGAGGTCCGGGTGTTTTCACAGCCTGCTGACTGGCCATGGGGAGGGCCCCGCAGAGGGGAGATGGGTGCTGGGGTGGGAGGGTTCTGGCTCCAGTCTCGTGGGAGAGAATGGAGAGGAGAAGGGGAGAGACTACAAGAGACAGAGACAGTCAGACCTGAGGTCCGAGAGAAACAGCAACAAGTGGAGACAGTGTAAGCGGTAACTAAGGGAGACAGAGAGAGCACAGCCTGCTGTGGGGGGCAGGAGAAACAGAAGGAAGGAGGGCTGGGGACAGAGACCAAGGCAGTGAGACACACAGATGGCAGGAGGTGCAGCCAAAGGGGATGGAAACCAGACAGATGCAGAGACGGAGCAGAGGAAAGGGGCAGGGAGCAAAGGGAAATAACAGAGCAGTGGCTGGGAAGACAGGGGCAGGAGAGGCCGGGAACACCCAGCAGGCCAAGCACACACACTGGGGTACGGACAGACTCACCCCTCTCCTCAGAGGGGCCTGCACGCCTGCAAGCTGACATCTTTAGGGGGGATTGTGCAGCACATCTGCTTCCTTGTCCCAGACCCAAGCTCCATGAGTGAAGGGCCTCTAGGTTTTCCCCTTTTGCATCTGCAACAATGAACTGGGCAGGCTGACTTCTGACCCTGGACTCCTCGTTTTAGCTCTGAGATCCTAGTGAAGCCCCTGGGAGGCCTTCTCTTTCCCCTCCCTCTAAGCCACGGAAAAGCTTGTTGGATCCTAGGCCCGCCTCCCCTGCCACTCCCCACCGCCTTTCAATACAGGCAGCTCTGAGAAGGCATCATCATCTCCTTCCACCAGCCTCCTGCCCACCCAGAGGAGCTGTTTGCAAAGTGCATTTCTGACCCAGCATTTCTGTTCCCTACATGGGAAACCTTTGAGATCCATTAGGTCACTCTGAGCACTGAGTGAAGAGTCTAGGCCTGTGTGATCACGGGCAGGTCACTGGCCTTCCATCCCCTTCATGCGTGGAATGAGTAGAATGAGGGACTGGGTTTCTCTCTGACAGTCCCTTCTGGCCCTGATCATCTAACAGTCTTTGACCTGATCACTTCAGAAGTCCCAACTAAATAGAGAAGTGGAATATCTATCCTCGTTCATTTATTCATCCGACAAAAGCTGTCAAGAGCTGCTAATATGGAAGATGCTAAGCCAGGCACTGGAGAAGTCACCTTAAGGAGCCTGACCTGACCTTAGTTCACCATCAAGTCACAACCTCCATTTCCTCCCCTGTAAAATAGGAGGGTGTGGTGTTCGGGGCATTACGGTTCAGGAAAGGGCTTTGTGAACAGAAGTCAGGTATCAGAAAGGGTTGTTTAGCACCAGAAGTGTGCAGAAACCTCATTAGAATAACTCATGCTGGCAGCTCCGATGTCTCCCAGGACCTATACAGGCTTTCAGTCCAGCTCAGGTTCTGCTGGTGTGAGGCCAGGCCTTAATCTCATGAATATTCCCATCCTGAAAGGCCTGAAAAACATCTGAGTTTGAGTCTCAGCTCCAGCAATTGCAAGGTCAATAGCCCTGAGTAAGTCACTTCCCCTCTGGTGGCTTCAGTGTCTTTCATAGGAGGATAAATAATCCTGTCTCAGTTGAAGGTAAATGTAAGGCTTAAACTAAGGTCAACATACCAGGCACACAGTAGGTGTCTGAAAAATGCTTGCTCGAGGCATGATTTAAGCCAAAAGAATACAGGTAGGTAAAGGTCCCTGCGTGTCGTGTTACCCACACAAGGATGTCCTGGGATTGTGGCACAGCCAACCACAGCGAGTCAGGGAGATCCAGCCTCCCTGCTCGATACGGCCTTTGCTGGACCAGCATTAGCATTGTGCAAGATGATTCAGCATCTTGCAAAACCAGGGGGCTTAGCCAGCCCCTGCTTCATGCCGAGAGGCTTGTTCCTGCCACAGCCCAGCTTGTCTACCTGATAGGAAATCAATGTGTTTATGATCCGAGGCCACTTGCACAAAAAGAGGAGGGAAGCATTGTTCTTCCCAGGTTCGAACAGCAGCATGCCCAGCCTAACTGATTTAACTCACTGGACACCTTTCTAACCCAAGATCTTTCCTCTCTTCCAGTCAGAGTATCGAAGAGCCGTAAAACCTGCGATCATAATCAAAGGACTTTTCATACCCCTATCCCAAGGGATGGATGAGTCCTCTTGCGGGATCTCTCTCGTTGGGAGTCTGCATCTGTCAAATTATGTAAGCTGGAAAGGAATTTGGCTATGTCCTCAAGAGGTTTTGAGCCCTGGAATAATAGGGTCATGGTCTCTAACTTAGATTCTGATGACAGAGAATATATGGCTTGTGGGAAAGGTAGATTTTGTTGAGAGGGACAAAATAATTACACTATAATTGTCTCTTTTATGCTGTAACCACAGATCTAGAGTTGCACTTGGTGCTGCTGGTGGGGTGCTCCAGGATTCAGAGGCAAATTCAATACGGTAAAAGCTAATAGAATTTATGACAATGCTGATACTTATGATCAAATATATTGGGAGAGTGAATTAAAACTTCTTTAGAATGTTCTACCTGTGAAAGAGAATTGGCCTGAAGAAGATTTAGGTTTGATTCACCATAGACTGATTATGATTCCATCATTCAACAAATGTATACCATGAAGTGCAGAGAGCTATAGATCAAGGTGACAAAAGAATTGTGCAGTTAGCACAAAAATATGAGAAAGTTTGCACTGGTGTTATTGGATGGTTCAGCCATCTGTTTAAATCAGGACCAAGCTATTATAAAATGCTTGGAATCTGTGTGACCATTTTAATTACAGATGGTCCCTGACTTAGGATGGTTCAACTTACGATTTTCTGACTCTGATGGTGTGAAAGCAATACACATTCAGTGGAAACCATACTTTAAATTTTGAAGTTTGATCTTTTGCCAGGCTGGCAATTTGCAGTGTGACACTCTCTGTCAACACTGGGCAGCAGCGGGAGCCATGGTGTTCTTTACTTCCAGCACGGTATTCAATACATCCCATGAGCTATTCAACATTTTATTATACGGTCGGCTTTGTGTGAGATGACATTATTCAACTATAGCCTACTGCAAGTGCTCTGAGCATGTTTAAGGTAGGCTAGGCTAAGCTATGAGATTGGGAAAGATAGGTGGATTAAATGCACTTTCGAGGTAAGTGCATTTTTAACTTAGGGAGGGTTTATAGGGATGCAGCTCTGTTGAGTTGAGGAGTATCTATACTGTCCAAGTAAGGATGACGGTTTTGTTATAAAAAGGTCTTGCCCATGGGACACGGGATGTGGATGGTGCCGTGAGCTGCTTTGTTTACATAGCACTGACACGTAGACATTTTCCTACACAGCACTGAGCCCTGGTCAGGTCAAGAAACATACTGGATCATAGTGTTGCTCTGTAATCAAGGGTCAGAGGAGTTTTGGGGTGGCTTGGACGAGCTTGTCAGCATTGTTTTGGATGACAGTGAGATTGATGGTTTGTACTTGTTCTTGGTGAGACTCTTGAAAGGCATTGTTCAAGCTGGTTATATAGCAGGTACCTGCCTATGTGACCAGCAAAATATGAATATGCCCAAGCTGAGAGTCTACCCTAGTTCCAAGGTATTCCATGTGATGACAGGAGCTTGCACCTGGCCTCTACAACCCCCTGGCTGCAAGGCATGTCCTTACCCTAACACTGCTGCTACCTGTATCCTTTTCCTGTAATCGACTCTAGTTTTGTAAGCATTATCATTTTGGGTCCAGTGAATTTTCTTTAGTGACTGAGTCTAGCTTAACCACTACTATTAAGGTTAAACATCTATCTTCCATGTTTTATAGGTGAGCAATGAAAACCCAGCCCAGAGCTATGATTATATGTTTTCTTCCTTACCTTGTTCTTTGGAGGTGAGTGGCCACTTCCCAGGATGCCTGGAAGAACCAGGAAGGAGCATCAACCACTTACGTAGGCGTCAGAGTAGCAGGAACATTAACCCAAGATGAGGTGAGTTTGGAAACCCGAAAACAGATGGTAAAATCCAAGGTTCAGTGAGAACAGATTGAGAAAGGCTCAGGACTGTGTCTGTGAATAGAGAATGTATCAGTCAGGGTAGGATATGTGCTGTAACAAACAACCCCCAAACCTCAGGCACTGAACACAAGGAAAGTCTTTCTTGTTGATGTCATAAGTCCAAGGCAGGTCAGTGAGAGAGGGGGGTACTGCTCCACACAGTCACTCAGGGACCCAGGCTCCTTCCATCTCATGGCTCTGCTCCCCTCCGAGTCCCTTTAGGCCCTCTCTATCCAGAGAAAATGTGGGGCAAGGGAGAACACTGATGTTTCAGCAGGCCAACCCAGGGGGCTCCTCTGCTATGAATACCCTTGGTCTGCATGTGAGTGTCAAGGGGTCAGGGGAGAGGGGGCTGACTTCCTTTCTTGCTGTTGTGTGGTGGAGAAGGGGCCTGAAGCAGTCCACAGCTTTGTGCTTCTATGTCCCTAGAAGCTTTTTGGACATCTTGAGTTCAACACATGAGCTTTGATATGAGCTGTCTCAAATCCCAAACATGCAGTCAACCCAGGATGGCCAGGTCCCTCTGGACCCCTCCAGTGTCTGAACCCCATATCCCAAGCTCATCTAATTATACCCTTGGAGAAGCATTTCACTGGTCTGGCAGATCACTTGTCATCCATCATAGCCTCGGATCAAATCAAAGTTGGTTATGAATTGTGAGTTGTTCTTCCCAGGATGGGCTGTTCTTCTGCTTCAAAACACATGTCTTCATGGAAAAGACCCTGTTAGAAGTTTATTCCAGTAGCTTACAAGCAGCAGGAAATTGGCATTTGTATATTACTCAAGAGAGAGCCCTTGCTGGAATTTTCCACCTGGGCTGTCAATGGGACTCAGTGGGGCGGAGAGTAAAGGCTCAGAGTCAGCCGAGGAACAGTCCCTAGATGAGACACCTCAGAACACACCATCTCTGGTTTGGGAGGAGCACAAGCCTTGGGGCAAGACAACTCTGGCTTCTATTTCATGTGACAATGCTGTGTGACCTTTGGGGCAAGTCAGCTCACCTTTCATCTGTAAAATGGATCTAATCACAGTACCTTTCTCAGGGATGCTGTGAACTTTCATGACGTAATATACTAAGGCACCTTGCCTGGCACCAGGAGGCATCAGTAACTGGCCTCTCTCCTGTCCTCCCTCTCCCACCCTTGAACCCTTTGTGATAAGGGAAGCCCAGAGACCTTAAATCATTAGAAGGAGTCCTGCAGGAATGTGGAGATCTGATGCCAGGAAGTGGCCAGGGTTTGGAAGCTTGATTTTACAATGAACTCCTCCATTTCTTAACTATTTTTTTACCCAGCCTGGGAAAGCCTGGGCTTGTAAAATGCACTTATTAGTTGAAATGATCTAAATCTAATCTAATTCTCCCATTGAAACCATGTAATGATGTTCCTCACTAAAGACCCGATGCTCAACATTTTGTAAAATCACCACAAACATCTTTGTTAATCATCTTTAAACAGCATACCTGTGCTTTGTACAGCGGCAAGCTTTCAGAAGTGCTTCTAAATCAATTAAACAGGGCGACATTAGTAAGCACTCACATAAAATACTGTTTAATATGAAACAGAGTACAAAAAGGTCCTCATCAAAGTTCTTGTTAATTTTTGCCTCATTTTCTCCACGGTGAATAATAACACCTAACATTTATTGGGTGCTTACCATGTGCCAGGCACTGCTCCAAGCTCTTTAGAGATGTCATGTCATTAAGCCCAGTCCAACCACACAATGAAGACTGGGGCTCAGAGAGGTGAAGGGTCCTTTCTATAGTCACACAAGTAGGAAGTGACAGAGTCAGGCTTTGCACTCAGGTGGTAACATTATAGAATATATCAGAAGGGTCATCTTTCAGAAAGATTTCTCTGGCCAGATATGGCAGATGACTTAAGGAGATATTTGGGGACAAGGGCTCCAACTGGTTGGCTTTGAAAAATATCGTTCAATCATATTCGCTTAATGCCTTCTGTTCATTTCTACATTTGATCATCCCCATCCTGGGTACCAAGGGCATTTGAGAACTTGTCCCTTTTCTGTAGGGAAAATAGATGAATGACCCATTCCAAACCAGGAGTAAAAGCATGGTAGAAATACACCCCATGTTTTACATGATATGAGGAGGAAATGATTGGTCTAGGGAAGTCTGAGAAAACAAAAGTAATTTCTGGGAAGGATTTTGGAAAATCTAAGAGGAATTTTCCAGGCAAAGAGAAAAATGCATCCTAGCCAGAGGTATTCACGGAAGCACAGAACTAGGAGGAATGAGTGTAGGCTCATAAGAGTTTTGGTGTGGCTGAAGCACAAAGTGTAAATTGTCAGGGGTGGGGAAGTGGTGTACCAAGAAGTTGTCCTGAAGCCCACAGAGCTTTGTAGACCATTCAAAGACACTGGAACTCTGTCTTCCAGGGGAGGACTATTGTATTAGTCCTGATTCTTATAGTTATCAATAACAGAAATCTGATTCAAATGGTCTTGGTCCTGAAAAGTTTTGATTCATGTAACTAAAACCGTCAATGTTTACTGCATTCAGGCATGGCTGGCTCCAGGTGCTCAAATGATATCATCCAAAATCTATCTCCCTTTATCCCTTAACTATGGTTCCTCTGGCTTAATCCTCAGGCAGCCTCTTTCAAGGGGTAGCACAGATGAGCTCCACCAGCTCTAGGGTTACATCCAACCAACTGGGCAATTCCAGAAAAAGAAACTGCATTGTTCCTGGTAGTTCCAACTGAAGTCCCAGGGCAGATATCACTTGGCTCCACATCTGGAGTCAAACTCCAGATGTCTTGAGACCCTGGGGTCCAGTTCTATCCCTGACACAACTGAGTGGCCTGGGGTGAGTTCCTCTACTCTGTGGGCCTCACTCTTCTCATCTGGGGATAGGTAGAGGATCTCTAAGGCTTTTTCTGGGTCTAACCTTCCAGTCTGCCCACAGCCTGCCAGCTCCAACTGCTGTCTGGAGGGGCATGATGGTGTCTGCATAAGCATCAGAAACCCAGTCACTGAAAACTCACAGCTATCCCCATGGGAGGTGGGCTTACCTGGCACCCTCCACACCGCCTTACTCTTTCTCTTTGTGACCCAGTACTAGAGGATGATTGGAGGGTGGCTTGACTGGCTGCGGGAGGGGAAGCAGACATAACCAACTCCTTCCCCAAGGCCCTCAGAGAATGGGCTTCAAGACCAAGGGCTCCAGTGTCAGCCCACCATGCTGCCAGCTGCCAGCTGGGGGTATGAGACATCCTGCTGCAATGCAGGGCAATTTCATAATCGCAGGAAGATGGTTTCACCAGGATGTATGACTGCTTAATCCTTAAATTGAATTTTACGTGACTTTTTTTCCCCTTGAATCCCTGTAGTACTTAATTCTAGAGCTAATCTCCGACCCTGACTCTAATTTACGCTCCGGGTCACAGTCGCATTTCATCAGGCAGTGGTAAGGCCGCTCACACATGACCTCATGGTTGCAGGCAGCCATTGTCCGCCCCAGTAGGCATGTCCTTCCTGGAGGCTGCTCTGTTCCTGGCTCACTAGGCCTCCTCTCTCCCAGACTCTAATCTTGTTCTCCATTCTGCCTCTGGTCAGGACAGTGTCTGATGCTCATTTGTATTATCTGGCCCTTCCCAGAGCCCTTTACCTCCAGGGGGTACCTGTCCTCATGTTCTCAGGGCGGGGAGCGGAGAGAGGCTCATAGTTGGAGAACAACTGCTAACAATGGACCTCACCCAGATGTTGCATTTGGGGGTTAAATAAAGACATCTGTCCCTCACTGTCCTCCCCTCTCCTCTCGTATACACCCTGTGCTAGGGACAAGATGCTTGCCCATTGTCAAGGGCAGTCTGGCACCATCAAGACCTAGACGAACTGGGTATTCTCTTCTTTTTCCTTTCTTCCCTCCCTCTCCTCCCTTCTTTCCTCCCTCCCTCCCTCCATCTTTCCCTTTCTCCCTCCCATCTTCCTTCTTCCTTCCTTCCTCCCTTCTTTTTTTCCTCTCTTCCTCCCTTCCTTCGTTTCTTCCTTTCTCTGGCTCTCTTCTCCTACCCTACTTCCTCTATTTACCCAAATATTTATTGAGCATCTACTTTGTGCTAGGCTGTGTGTCAGGTGCTGGGGATCCCACAAGCAAGACTGACAAGGGCTCTGCCCTCCTGCGGCTGGAACACAGGAGAGATGCGGCGACAAACTTGTGAACCAGCCCTCACCTCCAAGAAGGTGCCAACGGGGGACTTGTTATCCCAGAGATAGTGATATTTGAGCCATGACCTGAAGGATAGAAATGCTCCAGAGCCAGGGTAGAGATTCTAGGCAGAGGAGTAGGCGGTGCAAGAACCCTGAGGCAGGACAGGACTTGCCTTGTGTGAGGAGCAGAGGGAGGCCAGCACAGCTGAGGCACAGTGGACAAGTGGGGGGTGGCCTGAGCAGAGGTCAGAGGGATGGGCAGGAGACAGAGCAGAAGGAGGCCACAGTTCACAGCAAGTCAAACGACATCCGTGCTGGCCTCCTGCCCTTTCTCCTTTCTCCCAAGCGTCATCTTCTGAGCCCCTACGAAGTGCCCCCACCCTGGCATTTTGGGAAACTGGAAACCACATTGGAGCTAAGGCTGGATTTCTCCTTGGAGAGCCCAGGTGAGGGCTCCACACCTAGCCTGGTGAGCAGAGAAACCTTCTGCCCAGTAAGACTCTTGTGCTTCCTCTAGAAGGACAGGGCAGAGTTCCGGAGTGAGGACCGGCTATGGGAGGCCTTATGCACAGACAGAGGGAACAGCACAAGCAAAGACCTGGAGGTGTGGCGGCTGTATGGAGAAATGCCAGCCTCTCATTCTGCTTTGGGGTGGGGCCACCAAGAAAAGCTGCTTTCTGGGTCTTTCCACTAGAAGATGGCAGCAGAGGAAGGAGGGGTGAGAGAAAGGTGAGGAGAAAGGGGGAAGTGTGCGTGGGGCTGGAGGGGGACTGGGCAATGATCCCAAGCTACTGAAACCGAGGAGGAAACTGTCCCAGGAGCTGCCACCTGGCCCTGACCCA